CAATAACACTACAGCAATCTCATGCTGTGAAACAGAAAGAATTATTACCTAAACAGAACAGAAAATACTTCTCTGATTAAAAGAAAATACATGTATTGGCACCGGCTTTTGGGAGATAGCTTAGTGTTTAGCGCATATTTGCAAACTGTTTCCAATCAAAACATATTTTTGCAGCCACGAGATTGCTTTATTGAAGCTGGGGATTGATCTGGGGTTGCCGATTAATCCCAGGCCTGTTTTAACGAGAGTATCAGAGCGGACGAGGAACGTGTTTCCTTATGCTACTATTCCAAACAGACCACGAATCCCACGAATTGATACATTTTAGGATTCGTAGTTGAATCGTAATCAGTTCGTGAAATTCTTAACTGATTCGCATATATTCGTAGTTAGTTCTTACAATTCTTGAGCTATCGGGAATTCGTGGCAAAAGTTTTGAGCTGTTCAAAGTTTTGGCCACGAACTCCTGATTAAAAAAATATCGTAGTTAATTCGTAACAAATTCGTGATGCATTCTTAGGCATCGTAACTGAATCGTAATCGATTCGTAGGCATTCGTAGGTATTCTTAACTCATTCGGGGATTCGTGAATTCGTGGCGTTACGACGAATCGGCTATGAATCTGTCACGAATCCCACAAACACGCCGAGGCTATCTTGAGGGAAAACCCCAAAAATTGTCAAGAATAGTCATAAATTCATTTTTCCAGGATCCGCCGGATGGTTTTCTTAGATATCCCAGCTCAGCATCAGTTTCTTCCTTTGTTTGTATCAAAGCCTAGGCATAAAAGGTCATCTTGCACAATACATTTTGACTAAGACGGAATGTGTCCGCGTTTTTCTAATTAATTGGACAATATCAGATTACGTCACCAGCTGACTATCATGGACAATATGAGATTACGTGTTACCCACTGATCATCACGGACAACGGCAGCAAACCACGTGTTTCAAATGACCATCACGGACAACACCAGATTAGGTGTTACAACTCACCATCTTGGACAACAGCAGACCAAGTGTTACAACTGACCATCTTGGACATGAGAAGTCAGCGTGTTAGCAACTGACCATCTTGGACAACAGCAGTCTACATTTTACCAATTAACCATCACGGACAACAGCAGACCTTGTATTACGAGTGCGAGACCAGCATTTGCAGCTACTTCATCAAAGCTCTCAGTCCGCCATCAGCAGCCTTTCTCGAGTGTCTGCAATCTCAGTATCTCAGCATGCTCGCCCAACTCTGCCACAGAGGTAATCCTTTAGTCCACTTTAACTAACTCTTGATAGAAGTTAGGGCTCTTTGACCTTAGCTGTTTCATCGATTTTTGGCCTTTTGAAGATATGTCTCGGCAATAACAACCAGAGTTTTGTTTTATTGAGCAAGGTTTTTCAATAACGGCAGTAACAGTTGAGGTAATCGTTTTGCGGGATCATCACGTTTTCAGTTAGGGACGGATTTTTTTTACCTCGACCATAATATATCACGCCAGTACGACAGAATAAAGTCCCAAACACGATATTCCTTTTGAGTCGAAACAGGATATGAAGTTTTACCTTCAAAAAATGCAACTCTGTCTGATTGTTATTACGCAGTGGCACGAACCAGTTTCCATACACATGCTGTAAATGGGGGCCGAATGGTTGGACGCTTCCGAAGGGGTTAAGTAATAGACTTCTAACGTTCGCAAATGGAATTAAATGGTCTGATAGCAAACAGGGAATACTTTAAAAGGGTCTGATTTGGAACTGGCTTCTCCACTTGAGATTTGAAAATTTGTTCTAAGTACGTACACGCTTTTGTATAATTAGAAACTGATTAAACATTATATTGGCTGTATATATTTGTACCTGACATGTAATGGGTTAATCCATCAGGTTTAATGCAATAAATAAATATGAGTTTCTGATAACGTATGTTGTGACGTTCAACGATATTTGTCCTTTGACGCAAGATACAATGGAAATATTTGGACTTACTCTTATATGAAAGTATTTCATTCTTTACTCAAATTTGAAGTAGTGAGTGAGTTAAGTTGAGTCACATCGGCAATATTTTAGCCATATCGTGACTATCAAGGAGGGTTAAACATAATAAATATCAATACAAATTAGAAGTCAGGTTAATTTCGTTTCTGTGTTACGTGTAAACAAGAGTAAAACGTTCATTTTAAAACGAGCTGATCAGAAGTGATTGATCAATCAGAATAACTTCTTTGATAGGCATTTAGAAGTTGAAGTACTAAGTAATGGGAAGAAGCCCACAAGTTGTTCATCCATAAATGCTTATCCTTACTTGATCAATCAGAGGTTCCAAATCACATAAGCAAGTGATGCACCTGTATTTAACGTACAAATAACAGAGAGCTTAGAAGAAGCAAAGATAGTCATATTTCACCGAGTGAATTTGGTTTAATCCATCTTCCAAACATATCCCCTACTTACGTGTGGAAACTAGGCTTTGCTATATGCTAGTGGACACTATCGGCTTGGATAGTTTCATTACTGTTTGTGGGTTTTATATGTAGAAATACACCACCTAAATATAAAACGTCAACGCCAGAGAATAACCAGTTTCAATAATCCACGAAAACATATTAATTCCATTTGGCAAAAGGGCAAAAGAGCGGTTAAAATTATGTGAACGGATTAATGAAATAGAGAATCTCACCAGAGTGTCTTTTGATATCAAATATATCAACACGAGTTGACAAAGGTGGGAAAACTCCGAGGCTTCCCGAGGATTTTTTCTACTTTTATCAACAAAGTTGATATATTTTATATCAAAAGACACGAGGGTGAGATTTTATTTATCATCCAACATCATTCTTCCAACTTTTTCAGTTTGTAGACAGTAATAAGCAGTGTCTTAAGCTTCAGTAGCAGAGCCATTAGTGATGTCATTTGATTGTGACGTCATGGTAACCAATGGCGTCACAATGGTCTGCAAAGGATTGTGATGCAATTTCATTGCAGCGATATCTACAGTGTAGATATCGCTTGATCTCACCCAAGCGATATCTCCTGTGGGATGATAAAATATGTTTTAACAACAGAAGAAAAGGGTAAGCATGTCTCAATCCACCGGCTGCACCAGCCACTCACACAGCTTGAAAAAAACCTAGGTGTTTGGTGCCTGACGCAGCACAGCAGCACTCCTGTCATGCGACGATAGTAATCAAGTTATCGAAGGACTAGAAAAGCCAATTAACGCAGGGAAACTTTCCCAACCAAGTGTCTTTATATTTTACAAATATTTCAATTTTAACAAATATGTGTCTGTAAATAATGGAATCCAGTAGTTAAAAGAACAGGCAATTCATACCATCTGGCTACGATATCACGCAGTCACCGTGTCTTACCCCGCTCCAATATAGTCGCCGGACGATAAACAGTAGAATGCTGAGGACAGGCCAAGGTTAAATATCCAGATGTTACGTGCGACACGAACCCAAGACCAGCGAATCGTAACAGACAAATTTATCAGACCGTATGAACTGCCTTATATAGATGTAGCTGTAGTGGCCATGGATCAACTCGACAAAATGTTCGTTGTAAGGTGAATATGTGGGCGAAATGTGTGTCGGTGTTAAGAAAATGGCATCGTCACCACATGCTGGGATTTTTCAGCTGCGGACCCGTAACCGGAAATGCCAGTGCGCATGTAATCTATTGTGAATGTTTTCCGGAGCCTAGGCGGAAGCGTTGACTCTGATCTGTCGGATTCACGTCCATTCCATAATTACAAAAAATACGATTTTCTTCTTAAAGTTTTCAATCAACAGGCATTTCTTAGTCTATAACAGAATTCATTTGGCTGTGTCAAAATCCGGTATCAGGCTATGGGAATGGTAATTTACTGGAGTCGAGCATTTAACACACGGATAACACTTTTATGATTTCCTCCATCAAGCGCCGTTCTCACTGTCACGTGACCCAGACAATGACAAATCAATGTCCCGGATGACGTTTTCTGCAACTACAGGCGTACGGAAACACATCTCCTAAGGCTGGACCGCAATACTGTTTTTTTTAATCTCAACATGAAAGTGGCCCCGACGGGCAAATGCAAATTTAGACAAGAAAATCAACGGCCTGTCGTAATTTTTAGAGGTTGAAAATTGAAATAGGTTTTAACGGTTTAGAATCATTATTGATCCATAGCGAGTGTCGTGTTTCTCAAGACAAGGACCACACACAGGCCTCCACGTGTCCTGCATTGTAATGACTGCTGTCTAATCTCTGAATCCTTTCCACGTTACAAAAAACTGGGAAATACAGTAAGTGTATGGAAACAAGATGAACAATGCGTGTTGTGATTCCAAGTTCACGTCCTTCGTGATATGGCTCAATCAATGATCATTCTGAGGACTTCATCAGTAAATTAAAATTATATTGATAATAAGAAAGTGGCGCCTTCATTAAAACAGCCCAGAGTAGAGTATTTGTCTTGCTTTTGTTTCAGTATGCATCGTTTGCTGACGCGGCCGTGGTGTCAAGCAAAGTTATTGGAAATGAAATGTTATGAGTCCCACGATCACACTTTATGTAACCTACAAAATCACACACAGTGGAACCCCGTTATTCCGGACCCCATGAATACCGACCCCGACCCCAGGGCATTATAGGTAGGGAAAGTGGGAGGTGGCGAGGTGGCGAGGGGAGGAGGTTCAAATATAAGTAATGAATCTAAACATTATTTATGGACTGGTCATTTATTATTGGGAGGAGGGGAGAAGCGAAAAATGTTACACAAAAATGGTGGATCTATGGTATATGATAATAAGTTACAGGTCTCTGACCAATCTTCGCCCCGTCATCGGTGGTTCATGACGTCACAGCTTAGAACCGTTACGTCATGAGAACAGAAGGTTGACCCCAGTCACATTTCTTGGTGTGTTGACAATTCAAACATTCTTCATCTAAAATAACATCTTCATGAAACGATAAATCATCATAAAATGAATGCAATAACCGTAAACATGTGTATATACTCACTCATTGACATGGGGATATGTGATTGCTAGGAGATTATAGGTTTGAAGAGGAAGCCAGCATAACACAAACAGGCACACCACAATGATCAGCATCTTCACCACCTGCAACAAAGGGAGACAACTGTCAGACTCAAAGGGATATAACTCCTATTGGTAAGTTACATATTTTATCTAAAAAGAATATTGTGAGATGAAGACAACAATGATTACTAACAGAATCAAACAATTCATATTTTTAAAATGTATGACAATGTGTCGCATACATGAAAATTATGTATACACAATGCCATTTAGAAAGTGGTCATATGTAACAAATGTTATATTTGGGATAACGCTTTCTGAGTAAAGTAGAGATTTTAGAATTCTTTTGGAGTGGAGTCCTGTCCGGGATTCCAACCCACACTGCCAGAGTGAGGCACCTAATCGCGAGCACACAAAGTCAGCGATCTAAAGCACTCAGCCACAAAGGCTTCTATAGAGGCTTTCATAGCTTTCGGCCACGGGAGCCGTGCCAATTGACACTTGTCAGAGGGGTACACAAAGTACGAGATCTAGACTACCAGTTGTCGGACTTTCATTTTGTGGATGACCCGGTCGCTGAGAGGGTTAGATAGCTGACTTTTTGTGCTGGCGATTATGTGCCTCTCCAGATTAGGTGCCTTTACTAAGGAAGTGTTATCCCAAATATGACATTTGTTATATAAACATTATGCATTTATATAATTGAGGTTAATCAAGGCTGGTCATTACGTGTTTTCTGCAGAAGGAATGTACTGTAGTTCAGTCCCCGGATATACAACATGAAATTGTAACGAACGGAAATTCGATCCTAAAACAAGGGTATAATGTAAAACGCGCCTGCAAAACGTCAAAGCCAAGAGAATGATCAGCCTCGGTTATCCGCCCAAAACGATTCAAATGGGCGTAAACAACAAAACAATTTTATAAATGGACTACTGAAAATCAGTGATGATCTCACCGGGTGTTAGGGGGTTTAATAAGGCTTTTTCGGATGTAACGAATGTTTTCCGTGTTTGGTGACAAGCAAAACGCTTTAACCACCAGGCTTCCCGCCCGCCCCTCTCGACAGAGAAGGTCTGTAAATACTGACTTGTGTTAACATCAAGACATTCTGGGATCTTGCCAAAACACAAATGAAATTAAATTAGACAGCTTACAAGTAAAGAAACGTATTTAACAAGATATTCCCCGAGTGAGTTCATGGAGGGTTGTAAAATTAATTTACATTTATTTAAGTATTGCCTAACAGGGGGCAATATCGGTCTCGGGGACACTTAAACAACCCCCATGTAGTCAGGCAGTCTCGCTGGGTTATACTCAACAGAGAAAATAACTTGAGAGTGACTTCTATTCCCTCTGACATCCGGGTCACTGTGGACAAGTTTAATACTTGAAAAGATTATTAACAGTCTGAAGCCTCTGGAGTTTGTGGATTCTTCGTTATGTGCATAGTGATTGGAACGATTTAAGATTTTTATTACAAATTGCCACAGATATTGATGAACCGTTTGACAGGGTGGTTTGCTTTTAATAATTCTGACTGTATAAAGTTGGTGGAACATTGAAGATTTGGCACACATTTTTTTTTACAAAAACTGAAAAAATATTAACGTTCTTGAAACTATCATATTGGAAACGACGTCCTGCACAAAAAAAAATCTTCAGAATATTGTTTTGTTGCAGCGCGAGTTTTCTTTATTTCCAGATGCAGTGGTTTGGCTAAGAAAAAACATTGTAACGAAGCTTGGTCATAGTAGAAACAGATTTCTGCAAAAGAAATAATGCTGATATTTTTATTATGACAGTCCATCTGCAAAATGAAATTACGCTGATGTTTTATGTAAAAACTCTTCACAGACTAGATATTGACTATGAAAGGATTTCATTTACCAGAAGCAGTTCAATAGTACATGCCTCAAACCTATGCCAACCCAGGGGTAGAAATGTAAGAAAGGATTACTTATTGACACGACTATGACTTAATGTGTGATATAGGGGGTATTGGGTATATCTATTCCAGGAATAGGATGGCAGGGGTGATACAAAGAGAGAGTTTAACAAATTGGGGTTATCATTTAAACCCGAGAACTTTGTCAACATATTTTTCAAGCGTAGTCTAAAATGGGAAGTCGCCAGTTGGACACAAAGCTCGAGAAAGCTGCTTTCTGATTGGCTGATGTCGACTTCTTGTTAGTCATTTCATTGGTCGGCCAAAGTTCGCGAAAGGTCGCACTGTCGTGACCCGTAATAGGATGTCCTCAGATCTCTGTGTAGCGGTAGCGAAAACTGAGATCTGATTTTAATGAAAATGGGATCGTGGGGAACCCAGATTCTCACTAATCATGGTTCTTTGTTGGTCAGCACCATCCCCGTGCTCATGTGTTTCATAAAGATTTCACACAGCGTCATTCGACTCGTGCTCAAAAGTTGCTTGATCAAAGTTACAATATTCAATGCCTCAGTAAAAGTTTCAAAACGTTTTATGGTAGACACGTGGGCGGTATTTCGAAATGTGACACATCGGTAACCAAAATCATGTCCCTATTTGCCCTATTTTGACTTGAACCATATGTTCCCGTGGCTCTTTCATGTGATCAATTGACATGGCTTTGCATGTGCATGCGACAGGTGCCACCAGTGGGGCATTATACTCTCAGGATACAAAAAAGCTCACAAGATGCTACTTTATTATTATACTTTACGATCGGAATTTCTTAGAAGTTGACGGATGACAAAGTAGACAAAACTCTTTTATGGATAACAACTTATACCGTAATACTGGCAGTCTTAAATTGAGTGACAACGGAATAGGAATATATACCGAAACGTCGCATTACAGTAAAATAAAGACGTTGTTATCCATAAAACATTCTGGCAACTTTGAAATATTGCATTGGTATAAAAGTAACTTCACCGAATTTTGGCCAAGTTGTCATCACCTCTTTGTAAAGCAGTGACCTCTACAAGCCGTGTAAAGATCAACAGAAGAAAATTTAAATACACAAATTAATCCGGTTATTCATGAATGTCCGCATGCGTAACGTCCTTAATTACGAACGCCATCAAGTGCACAAGTCTACGAGTCGAGTTTGTTTTGGGGCGATAATAATTATATCAAACTGTTCTGTTGAGTTATTTTTTTCGAACATATTGATGTATTGAAGTATTTGCGAAAGCAGTTTCACAACACAAACTTCACGTAGACGGCTCTTCGTCTTCATTAGTTACCGAAGACCAACTAATGCCATGTTTAGTGTTATCCAATCGCAGCTTACGAGACATCGGTCACTGTCTGTCTACTCGTTCAGGTAGACAGGACCCTAGTCAGACCTATGACTGGTTCGAGAAAACCTGAACCTGGAGAATTTCACTAGATCGGTACTTCCGGAATAAGGAGTTTATAGAGTGTATTGCAGTTTGACCAAAAGAATACACGTCAATGATCTTTTTGTAAAAAAACAATATGTAATCTATTTTTATTAACTCCTAGTTCTAAAAACACCTTCGATAGTTCGAAAGAGTACATTTCGTTTACTTTTCTAAACACCATGACAGACAAATAAATATGTTTTGACAAGGTAACAGACGTTGTTTCGGCTAATCTATTAGTTACAGCCGGTGAGATGTCAGAGAGATTACAGATGGTAAAAGTACTCCACAAACTCAACATCAAAGAACTACCTCCCATGTTTCATCAACCCGTCAACATCCGAGAATAAAAGAATGACATCACAGTCGGGTTCAAAGTATATATTTCAGATTGCTGCTGTCGAGATCAATATGTCGTGAGTCTGTCAACAAGCCAAAATACGTCAAATCAAACGGTTTTCTTTTTGACAAAAATCAAAACTAGACGGTATAAAAAGCAATATAAATGCTTGTTAAAAGAAACTTTGGACAGATTCACTAACTCTAAAGTATTCTATTATCTATTAAGTCAAACAAACATTGACGTAATGATCCACAAAAACCAATCGAAGTTTATTTTGATTAAGTCCAAGATCATATTATTTCCATGCCCAGTACAGTTCAGATTGGGTATGACTGAAAATACTGATACCTGTGAACAAAAAGCCGATAAACAGCTATATATAGCCCTTTCCACCCACTTTTCACTATTGTAGAAGCTAAACGACTTGACAATGATATTGTCATATGACTAACTCTACCACTGTGACTAAAACCGGTATTATGTACTTGATATTGTCACTAACACTATCACCGACACTTGTCACCGACACTCTTACCAACACTGTCAACGACACTGTCACTAATACTGTCACCGATACTGTCACTAATATTGTCACAGACACTGTCACTGTCACCAATATTGTCACCGACACTGTCACTAATAGTGTCACTGATACTGTCACCGACACTGTCACTAATACTGTCACTGATACTGTCACCAACACTGCTACTAATACTGTCACCGACACTGTCACTAGTACTGTAACTGATACTGTCACTAATACTATCCCCGATACGTTTAAACGGATACTGTCACCGACACTGTCACTAATACTGACACCGACACTGTCACTAATAGTGCCACTGATACTGTCACCGACACTGTCACTAATACTGTCACTGATACTGTCACTGATACTGTCACCAACACTGTCACTAATACTGTCACCGACACTGTCACTTATACTGTCACTAATACTATCCCCGATACGTTTTAACGGATACTGTCACCGACACTGTCACTAATACTGTCACCGACACTGTCACTAATAGTGTCACTGATACTGTCACCGACACTGTCACTAATACTGTCACTGATACTGTCACCGACACTGTTACTCACACTGTTACTAATACTGTCACTGGTACTGTCACCGACACTGTCACCAATATTGTCACCGATACTGTCACTAAAACTGTCACTGATACTGTCACCAACACTGTCACTAATACTGTCACCGACACTGTCACTAATACTGTCACTGATACTGTCACTAATACTATCCCCGATACGTTTTAACGGATACTGTCACCGTCACTGTCACTAATACTGTCACCGACAATGTCACTATTACTGTTACAAATACTGTCACCAATACTGTCATTAACAC